CCCGGTGGAGGACAGCTTGTAGGAGTGCCCCTCATCTCCCCAGATCCAAGCCAGCCCTGTGTGGGCTGTAAGGCCTGGCTGCTGGGGCTGGTGGTAGCCTGCAGCCAGGAGAGATGCCACCTTTGGCCAGCATTGCCAGGTCTGAGAAGAGATGTCTGTCCATCCCCTGGAGCTACTGCATCTCCCAGCACAGCATGCAGGGTCTGCACTGGAGCCGTGTCCCCCTGCCTGCTGTCCCCTGCCTGCTGTCCCCTGCTGCCTGGGGACACAGCCAGTGTGCTCTCCCCAATGATACAGCCGTGCCAACAGAGCCCTGCTGCATACACCACTCGCTTCAGGTGGAGCTTGGTATTTTCTATATCTGTAAACTTTAGATTAAGCTTTTTTGTTCAATCTGTACTGCAAAGTTCTGCCCTCATGCTGACAGAGGAAGAAACCTTCCCAGGGAAAGGGGACCATGCACCACTCCAGCTTGACTGTGTAGGGATGAAGGTGCAAGGCCACTGCTTTTGGGTCCCACCCAATGCTTTTGGGTCCTGCTCCACTCATCATGAAGTCCCAAGCAGTGTTTAAAAGTTGCACCTGGGAGAGGGTGTTTAGGCTTGCAAGGGCAGCTCTGAGAAGGGGAAGCAGCTTACACTTCAGTTTCCTTAATTATGCAGATCTAGGGAAGATGCTTACTGGTTTCAGTGTAGATATTTTTACATCTCATCTGATAAACTAGGAGCTTCTAGTAAAAAGTTTCATAAACATCTGCACCTGGATTTTTGAAAACAGGTATTAAAATCTATGTTTTATATAGACATGATACCTTTATTTTGAATGTAAATTAGTATTTTTTAATAATTTCAATAAAAATAACTTTTTGACTGGTAGCTACCCTATTTCTGTCATAACTGCAGTGTTATGAGTTGCTAAAAGAACTAATACAAGTTTACATAAGTAGGAAGGAAGAAATGTGCCATGAGGAGAGAAATATAAGCTGTAAACACAACACAATTTTAAAATAAAGAAACATATGCCTAAACCCATGTGTAATGCAATTTGGTAAATCAAGTCACTCCAACACGTTATGTATAGAAGACTATCTGCAGTTACAGTGTTAGAAGCATGGAGTGATTAGAGGCTCTGAGCCACCAGTGCAGCTCAGCTGACTAACTGCAAACTCAGTCTTGATATTCTGAGGCCAGAACACTGCACCTGAAATCACTGGCCCGTCTTGATCTCCATGAGTGCCATGTAGTTTGGGGGCTGCAGCGCTGCTGACAACAGTGCTCCCACCCTGTCAGAGCCAGCATGCTTAAAATGGTCCAAGTACATCTATGGCACCTGTTCTGGTGCCTCCTGAGTGCCACGTGGACACTGCATCCATTAATGGGACCAGCAAGGGAGGACCAGCAGGGTGTGAGAAGTACCACACAGGGGACACGAGCTCTGGCTCAGGGAAGAGAGAGGAGCTCTTATGGGCTGGTGGCTGAGGGACAGAATGAGGCAACAAGTGGAAGTTGGAGTGGTTCAAAAGAGGGAACCAAAAAGTCTAAGAGAAGGAAGTTGCTCAGGAAAAGAGATTGAAGTGTGGGATGAGACATGGGAAAGAAAAAATAAATAGGAGGGGAAAAAAGTAGGGAAAGAGATGGAGGTGAGACTAAGCAGGAGGCAGGGTGTAGTACAGGATATCTGGGGTAAGAGAAGCAGCTCCTGAAGCAAACACACAAAAGCAGAGCAGTGAGAAGGAAGAAGGAAGAGGAAAAAGGAAGGGGAGAGCAAGCAGAGAGGACTTCAATAAATAGTGTTTTTTCACATGTTTTACTTGAAGAGACCCTGGGAACCAGCCCCAAGGCCCAGGCAGACATGGCCATGCTGCATTCCTGGGTTGCTGCTGCGTGTTTGACACTTGGATCTGGGCTATGCATATTCCTAGGGTGGCACTGGTATAAAGCTGGGCTTTGCTAGCAAATTTGCACTGGCTCAGATATAGTCTATGCTGGCCTGGAATAGCATGACATGCCATTGCTAAGTAATATTTACCGGATTGAAAAGCTGTATGCACAATTAGCTGGGCTGAGCTGCTCTGCCATCAACTGTGGACAGCATCTGTTTCAGCAACTGATGTGCAAAGAGCTCAGTTTTCAGATGCAACTTAAAGGGCTATAATTTGCCCCCAAAAAATGGAGATTATTGTGACATTCTTATTATCTGCTGTTCTTTTCTCCCTGGTATGTAGCACAGTTAGTTCTTTTTCCTGCTACAGCACTGCAGCTGCTGCTTCTAACACAGCAAAAGGTGCAGAACGAGACACGTCAGTAGAGGCAAAAAAAAAAAAAAAAAGCAGTGCCAAAAAAGAAGTGGAGAGAGGAACACAGAGCAGCAGGAGGCAGGTGGTTTGGGAAGCTCTGGGAAACTGCAGAAGCATGGAGCTGTGTTCTGTGACTGAGCAGAGAACTTCCAGAGGGAAGGAGGATACTTCACAAAGGCACAAACGGCAGTCACAGGGATATTGCTGTATTTAGTGTTTGCATTGTGAAAGTCAGGATGGAACTTTATGGCTATAAAAACCCTAGCCCTGCCCAAAAGGTAGCTTTACAGAGCTTGTTTCTGTTCCCAACAGGTCTAAAACCAACAAACCATATGTGTATTTCAACATGTTCTTTATAGCTGCCTCTGAAATTTTCCAGGGAGGGATGAATTTTTAAAAAGTGAATGGGGTGTGGCAGTGCTACAGGCAACTGTATTGATAGTAAAGAGAAATACTAGATCATTCTCTGACATTTTAAGATGATAGCTACTGGTTTAAATATAAAATAATAGTCCATGGACCAACGGTTAGAGATGCTTGTCACTGACCCGCTTCAGTAATTTGGCTTTTTTTCTGGCTGCTGAACTTTAGAAATCCTCAGAAGATAAATTTACAGTCTGTGTCTGCTCAGGGGGAAGATTATTAAACAAGCAACCTCAAATTATTAAATAAAACCTTAGCTATATACAATCACTTTAATTTCATCCTTTGATATTGTTCATCTGATTAAGTTCTTTCCAAACAAACTTTACACAGAACTTGGCCTATGAGGAGTGGACTAAGCCCATATGTATCCTGACAGGAGTGTTTACTCAAACGGAGTTATCCCAGCCTTGCTGCATGTACTTGGGGACGTAAAAAACGGCCTGGGGACAGGAACTCAGAGAACAATAAGGATAGAGAAACTTAGGGGAAATAACCTACTGAGAGAACAGGAATGCACTGGGAGTAGAAGAATCAGTCCGACGGGAAGACATCAGATATTGGGAAGATGCCCAAGAAAAGGGAGCAAAAGATGCCCATGAGGAGAGGTTTGGAGAGGAGCAGTGTGGAGAGAGAAGCATTTTGAAGAGGGAGAACAAGGGCTGCCAACATGGCAGGGTGGGGTGTGAGAAAAGATGCTTCCAGCGGTGCAGCACCCCAGCAAAGAAGGGGTGCAAGTTCACAGGCAGTGAAGAGGAAGAGACCAGATGGCACCAACATAAACTTTGACTAGGGAGGTTGCTCTTCAGCCAGCACACCAGTATTTCTGGCTGCAGAAACATTCTTTCCTTCCCCATCTTCATGGACAGGAGCAGATGGAGAGATAGGCCCTGACCACATAAAAAAATTTGAGTTTGGCACTGTCAAATCTGCTGTACCAGCGGAAATTCACCTGACTGCCTGCTCTGGGGAAGAAGTCCCTGCCCTGTGGAAGCCTTCTGTGGAGGCAGTGCAGGCAGTAATGCAGAGCTGCCTGCACCGATGGTCTGACTGCAGCCCGGGCACTGCTGGGTTTGACTTGCTACTCATTAACAGTGTTCAGGCAGGGTGGTTCCTTGACGAAGGACCAATGAGGATCAGGATGGAGACAGTGCAGCCACGCCAGCTCTGTCAACACCTGCTGCTTTTGGGCATGCTAGCATCTGTGATCCTTCCCATGGATGGGCCAGCCTGGAGTTCTGGTATCCTGCTGGATGGAGCCCAGGGGTGAAGCCCTCCCTGCTGAATTGGGTGCAAGTGGATTGCCTTCTCCTTGGACAGAGCTCCCTGGGCTTGGGGAAAAGATTTGTTCCTGCCATTGTAACCTGGTCCTTAATTTGGCAGAGGAGTAGGGCAAGACAGTTGTCCCCAGCCTGAGAAAGAGCAATTTTTGGGGCCCCAAACTACCCAAAACACTGTGGAGTGGGTGCCAAAAGTGACAAGAGCAGTGGGATGGTAATGAGGGGATGCACTTCCAAGTCACCCTGCAGCATATCAGGGAAAATACCTTAGTGTTGGCACCACACCTTTCCAGAAGAGTCCACAGGCACTGGTGAGGGGCTTGCAAGGATGGCGAGGGAGGAGAGCCCACTGTTCAGTGCCGCCATCCTGCCGGCTGCAGAGCCGGGGCAGGCACTGAGCCCACGGGGCGGACATGCAGAGTCACCGAAGCCACCCCGGCGGGGAGTGCCTGGGGGTCCCCACCGTGGGGTGAGGGTCTCCCGAGAGGGGGGAACAATCCCTGTCCTCAGCGCCTCTCCGTCCAACCCCCTGGGCGTGATTTGTGCTCGGCAGCGCAGACGGAGGAGGGGAGCGGGGTGAGGGGATCCCTGCTCCCGGCGCCCCAGGCAGGGACAGGGCCCGCGGATGAGCCCGGCCCGCAGGGCGGAATTGGCGCCTCGCTGTTTGCTTCCAGAGCTGTCGGGAAAGAATCGTCTTCTGCAGGATAAAGTCCCTGTCTAGGCGGGTGAATTGCTCATGTCCAAAGTCTACAGACAGGAGGCTGCCTGCTGCAATCCCCGCGAGAGGGATAGCTTTTACAATATACGGCCTGATTGCAAATAAGTTACTAATAAGCCGCTTTGGCGTAAGAACGGCTCTATGCATTATTTCCTAAGATCTGTTTATTTGCAAATATTTCTTTGGTTTTCTTCTTTAAAAAAGATCGTTCGGGAAAATTAAAAAAATAAAAGAAGTACAGAAGTTAGTATTTAGACATTCGTACTATTAAGTAATGGAGCTATAAACTCTCAAATAAGGCACTTTCATTTTACTTAACAATAGATAACACAACAGCGACAGTGGAACAGACCAAACAAAAGCGATCACCAAAATTGTTGTGACAGTACAATTACCCGGCTAGGAAATTTATTCAATATGCTTTACCATTGCATTGACACAGCAGGAAAAAAAAAGCCCAAATGCTCAGATAATAATGCAAGAAGGCGGGAGGTATTTGGAAAAAAAAAAAAGATTTATTTTGAAATACATTTTTAAAGAGATACTTTGCCTCCATGATTTGTTATCGGTGTGCATCTGACACGATACAAAACAAACAAACCAAGAAAAAACCACATTCTGTACAGAGCTCTAAAATGAGCTGCGATTATCTACAAGATGAGCTTTACGCTTGGGTGTGGGTTGGAGAGGGGCCCGATCCTGCAGTCCGCACTCTCTAAACGAGTTTCGCAGACATGTGGTAGGAAAGCTTGGCCCCGAGTCTGCGTGCGTGTCTCCGTGTGTGTGTGTGTGCGCGTCTGCGAGTTCCTACAATACACTCCTTGAGTAAAGTGGGCAAGTTGGAGCTGCCGGAGCGGGCGCGGGTCCCTGGCTGCTCTAGAAGTCCTGCCGCGGGGTGTGAGTTAGACTGTGCCGCCGTAGATCACAGTTTCGCCTGAACACTTTGCCGCACTGCTCACAGTTGTAGGGCTTGATGTCTGTATGGGTAAGAAGGTGAGTTTTCAGGTTACTTCTTTGATTAAAGGTTCTTCCACATGTGGGGCATTTGTGTGGAGATTCCTGTTCAGATTTGAAGCAAGCAAAGGATTAATCCTTCACAAACCACCTGGTTTAACGTATTACTGCACTTTTTCTCATCGCAACGCACAACTCGAGTTATCGGGGGAGGACACGAACGAGAGGAGCCCCGTGCGGCCGGGCGGCCGCCCACCTCTCCCTATCCTGCCCCAAAAGTCTTATTTTATGGTTCTCGAGTCGTGATGTTCCGCGCCCCTGGGGCACACGGAAAACAGTCTCCGATCCGCCCTCCAGCTCCGGGACTCCCGCTGCCCGCCCGGCCGCCACGGCGGTCCCTCCACACCGCATCCCGCCGCCGGGCCGCCCCGCTCCTGCCGCCAGGGCAGGGCTGCAGCCCTCAACGAAAAACGCCTCGAACCAGCTGCGTGGACAAACCCGAACCCGGGGCTCACTCCCCACCGCTAAACGCGTCCCCGCTGGCTTTAAGCCCTTCTCCCAAGGGCGCCGTTTTCCCGCGGGTCTCCCGCGGCCGCGGAGGTAACCACGGGCAGCTGTCCCCCGGCGGACCCCCGGGGCCGGACCCTCCTCGCTCCCCTCCACACCAGAGCCCTGATTCCCCGGTAGCCACCGCCCCTGCCCCGCGGCTAGCCAAGCCGAGCTGAGCCGGACCGAACCGGGCTGGGCCGGGCCAGCGCCACGCGTTGAGAGGCCGGGGAAGGGCGGGCTCACCTGCATGTGTAGAGTTTTGTGGACCGCCAGGGTCCTGGACTGGCAGAAGCCCTTCCCGCACTCCTGGCACTTGAAGGGTTTCTCTTTGGAATGGATGTACCTGGAAGGCAACCCGTGGGGTGAGCAGCGCTGCCGGAGGCGCGTGGGCCACACGACCCCAGACCCCCCTTCCCCAAATTCGACCCCCCCCTAGACGCCCTCCCCCTCCTCTTCCTTCCTTTCCCCATTATTATTCTGTGTATGGTTAAACTTCTTGGCCAGTTCGAAACATTTGCAATAATTCGTATCGAAGCGCGGCTGCACTCTCTGGTGCCAGACCGGGACAGCATCTGCGCTGCCGGCCGGACCGGAGCCCGCTCCTCTGCGAAGGCGGAGAGGATTCAGCTCTGCGGCCGCGGGCGCCTCTCAGCACCGGCCGCAGCATGCGGAGATGGGTGGGGGATCAGCAGGGAAGCTCCCACCTGCGACCCGTCCTGTTCCCTGCATCCCCCAGGATCATGACTCAGAAGCACAAAAGCCCCTGGATCTTCATGTCCGGCTGCGAACCCCTCTGGCTCTCCCTCAGGAGGCTGAACTTCCCACACAAAGCGCAGGTTTCGGCTGCCCTGGTCCCTCCGTGGCCACGGAATCTGAGCCCGGGGCTTTTCACGGTGTTGTTCCCGTGGCTCCCGGAGCCGCTGAGTCTCATCCCCCTCGAGCGGCTCACCCCACCCCGGCTGCCCACGGCCCGACCCCGGTCATGGTGGTCCCCTCACCGGTGGTCCCGCAGGTGGTCCTGCCTCCGGAAAGCCTTGTGGCAGATGTCGCAGGTGTAGGGCCGCTCGTCCGTGTGGGTTCGCTCGTGGATGAGGAGGTTGTAGGACTTGGTGAAGTGCCTGCCGCAGAACTTGCAGATGAACTCCTTTTTCGTCTTGGAGGGCAGGCGGCCGCGGGAAGGCTTTCTGTCCGGGGACAGCTTGCCGATGCCCGACAGGGGCGAGGCCAGTCCGGGACTCAGCTTGGCAAGCTCTCCCACTTTGGGGGGGTCCTCCTGCGTGGCGGCCACGGCCAGGTTGGCAAAGTCAAATCGGGGCCTGTCCTTGTGCAGTGCTGGGAGGACGTGGGCGATGGCCCCTTGCTTGGGGTGGAAGAGGTGCGTGGCAAAGGGGAGCGCGGGGAAAGGGAAGCGGGAGTCCACCAAGCCCTGCGCGGCCGCCATCTCCGTGATGGTAGAGCGGGTGATTTCATGCACATTGGGGTAGCCCAATGTCCAGTGGTTCATGTGCATGGTTTGCACGGCGCTGAGTCCGTACAGACCTTGCAACTGGTCCACAGCTGCGGGGAAGGTGTTCACAGCCTGGAGGAAGGAGTAGTTAGTGAGTTGCAGGGACGGGTGCAGCGGGATGGGGGCTGGCAGAGCCTTGCTTCCCATCTTCCCGAGGTGGGCGCGAGTCGGGGGAGCAGCTGGTGCCTCTGGATGGGCTTCCGAGATGGGGAGAAAATCCTAGGAAGAAAGAGGGAGAAAGGCGGGGAGAGAGACTTTTACTGAGAGCAGCGTGGTACTCCTTAGCCCAGGCGAGCGCAGCAGCGGAGCCAGGGAGGGCCAGGCACGGCTCCGGTGAGCTGCCCTGCCGCGGCCCCAGCGCCCCGCCACAGCCCAGGCTCCCGTCCTCCGCCGGGACCGGCGGCGCACACTGACCCACGGCGCGATCGCTTCGACCGAAGAAGCTGAAGCGTAGCAAATGAATAAATAAAAATAGCGTTCCCAAAACACCCACCCGAAATTAAAATGAAAAGGAGAAAACACCGCACCGAGCCAGCCGAAGGCGCCGCAAATTCAAATTAAACGAATCGTGTAAAAATACAGGCGGGACAGACCCGCGGGAGGGGACGAAGCCTCTCCGCTTTCCGCCGCCCTGCCACCTTCCCCCGCAGCGCCCACCGCGGGGACCCCGGGGCCGCCTCCCCCATGCCCCCCGCGCCGACCTGACCCCCGGCGTCGCTTCCACCCTCCGTCCGGCCTCCTGCGGGCGCGGAGGCCCCGACCCCGACCCCTCCTGGCTGGGGCCTTCCCGGGATACAGCGGGGTGTTCGCGGAGAGCCGAGTCAGGCCCGGGGGGCGGAGCGGGGGGGAATAAGCCCCGCGTTCGTCCTAGCTCCGTTGCTTATTTTTCTTCCTTCAACAACAACTCATTTATCAAGATAACCGAAAGAGAGAAAAGGAGCCCCTGCCCCGCACGCACACCTCCTACCCAGCCCCCCGCGCAGCAGCCATCCCACCAGCGGCGAGAAGAGCGGCCGGCCCGGAGGCCTCCCCGGCCCACCGAGGGCCGCCTGGCACGGCGCTGCCCCGCAGTCGGCTCCCTCCGTGTCGCAGGGCCGAGAAGGGCGAGCGCAGCCCCGGCAGGACGGAGCTGTGCGGCCGAGCCCCCCGCACCCCCTCGGGCGTCCCCCGGCCGGGAGCTCCGCCGGAGCGGCAGGGCAGTGAGCTAATGAGCGGTGTGTGACTGTCAGAGGGTTTCACTCAGCCCATTCAACCGAAACCGCCGGGCCCGTCGCAAGGGGGTCCCCTCGGCGAACCCGGGACGACGCTCCCCTCCCACGGGGCAAGGGGACATGGGAGCGGGGGACAAGCCCCTGCGGTTTCCTCTTTTTTTGCTTTCGTTGAGGATTCACTTCCAGCAGCCAAGAGGCTGCCGCGACCCAGAAAAGCGGCCAAAGCAAACGCCGGGGTCTCTCTGGGCCTGTAAACAAGAGGTAGGGCCGGGGGTGACCCAGCACCTCAAGGGATTTGTGTGGAGGGTCTGGTAACGCGCAGTTTCCAAAATAAACGATAAACCCTCCCCCCGGAAAAATCCTAAACCACCCGCTCCGAACAACAACAAAAATTAAGGAAACTCTCCAAGCGCAGAGCCCGCGCTCCGTGAGCGGTGTCCCTGCCTCCCGGGCCGCTGCTGCCCGGCTCCTGCCGTTCCGCTGGCACCGCACGCACTCCGGCTGGAAAGACACTTTTCCATTTTTTTCCTAAAATACCTTTCCTCCACGTTTGTGGCATCTCATAATTGGCCGACTGGGGGGAAAAAATTGTGGCAAGGAGGTCGGGAGTGAAGTGAAGTGCTGCCTACTCCTGTTTTCGTTTGCCTCGAGTCGTGCCTCTTCGAAGCTTCCTCCACTGCTTCCCAGTTTTCCTCGTTTGTGATTGTATCGATACTGGGGACAGTTATCGATACTATTATATATGGAGACTTTTTCGTTTTATTGAGGGGAGGTGGTTATATATACAGACTTATTTTTAAAGATGTCGTAGTGTGAGTTCCTATTCGGTTTCCTCAAGGAACCGAAACAGAAGATATTAAATCACTTTTCGCTGGCTGCTCCGGCTGCTCCTACCTCCAGCCCTGTTGTTTGAGGCTGGGTTTCGGAGCCACCGGCTGGGAGCTACGACCGAGGTAGGGGCAGTGTTTCTGTAGGGCAGAGCTCCCTCTGTTACAGCAGCGTTTGGTGGCTGTGTGGGGGTGTCATTGCACCACGCTCGTTTTGGTGTCTACGAACCAACTCTGAGAAAACTGTTCTGAGCTCGAAATCCTCATTTGAAGGTAGAAACTTTTAAAACTACACTTCTGTCTGAATGGCAGTACATCTGCTACTATTTGTATTTGGAGGTAACTTTAGTAAAATGTATTTAAAAAAAAGACCAGAAAGTGTCTTCGTACGTGATTTTAAGGCCATTTATATTAAGGTGTGTCGGGGCGGGGGGGGGGGGGGGGTGTTGAAAGTCAACCAAAAACGGATGTTACTTAAATCTTGGCACTTCCTTTTCCCTTTCCATTCAGAGAGCTTAATTAAATTAAGCCCGGTGTCAGGGCAGCCCTCTCTACCTGCTTGCCGCCGACCTGCTGGTCCGGCCCGCGCTCCCCGTTCTCCCGCGGCGGGGCCGGGACCTTGTCCCAAAGGCGCTGCCGTCCTACCCAGGGAGCGAGTGGGCATCGGGTCGCCTCCTCTCCCCGACAGCCTCACCCGAAGCCGCGGCCGTCGCTGCCCGAGCAGCCAGGTATTTCCCCCGGCCGAGGTTTCTCCAGTGCGACCCGAGGCTTACTTAGCTCGTAGTCCATGCACGGATCGGCTTTTCCCTGCTAGGAGTTCCGCCTGAAGGACCTCGAGAGCCCACCCCGGGAGGCTGCCGTGGCCTGGCCTCGCACCAACGCGCCCCCGGCGCGGAGAGGGGACACCCGCACCCCAAGCCGCCGCTGAGCTGCAAATTGAAAGTAAACCCGGCGGCCCCGCGCTCCCGGCTGAGAGCACGCTCC